TTCTTTTGAAATAAACTTTTCATCTCTACCCCTGTAAACTGTTGGCCATTATCTGACTCCACTTCCTCTGGTACCCATACGCTGAAAACAATCTTCCTAATCGTTAAATTGTCTTTCTTGCGCTGATCTCTCTTAACAGGACCGCCTCGACCCATTAAGGATCCGTTGCCAGGGCATGGTTGCCTAAACCCACGGTCTCCAGTTTACTTGGGCCGGTCTGAGTTTGCTGGCAATTTTTACACCTATTTACCATATACTCAATCTGGTTGCCAAGATTCGGCCACCAAAAATGCGACCTAGCAACCGCCTTCATTTTGCTCATCCCCGAATGGGTCTCGTGTAGAAAACATATTTTTCCTAAGCGAAGACGAAATAATCACTCGCCTTCCCCACAATAAGCCTTCCCCATCCATAGTTAACTCCAACTTTCTCTTAAAGTAGGGCCTTAGGAGTTCCCCCACTCTCCCAGGCCAGCCCTGCTGCGTATAGGGCTTCACCACCGACAATTATTAATAGTTTCGAGTATCCACGCCTATTTACTCTGCTGTAACCGGCAAATCTTCCACGTATGATAATATCAACGTTTGATTCAAACACTGTTTTTCCTCACTGTCTACTGTAAACCGTGAGAGGCCTGCATTTCCATGAGCTCGAGTTCTTCTGAACTTGATTTCATATGTATAAGCCGCCAAAGTCAGTCCCTATCTCTGCAATATTAAAGTAGACAAAGTGGGAATCCCTGCTCTCGGGCCCAAAATAGACACCAAGGGTTTATGATTTTTAATCAGGGTAAATCGTCTCCCATAGATGAGCTGGTGAAACTTTGTTACCCCATATATTATTGCGAGAGCTTCGAATAATATTTGCTCGGCCCCGGAAAGTGTTCGTGAGGCAAATATTATTGGTTTCTCTTGGCCCTTGATAACATGGGGCAGCACTGCCACTCCATTCTGAGATGCGTCCGTGGCCATATTATAAAGACAACGCGGCATCATACGGCACCAACACTCTTTCGGAGGTAATTATTTTTTTCACATTCTAAGATATTCTCCCCACATTTTTTGCCCACTTCCAACAACTATTCTTTTTGGCAGCTTGTGAGGTGGCTCCAAGAGCTCTGGCAAATTCGGAATGAACTTTCCATAAAGTGTACCTGCCCCAGAAAAGATCTCAACTCCGAGACATTTATCAGGCTTTTGGCTTTCTGTATTCTTTGAATCTTGTCATCCAAAGGCCGAATACCATATTATTTGATGAGATGTCCCAAATTACCTTATTTATTTTCGAAAATATCACATTTTCCCTTTTTAATTTGATGTTTTGCTTCTGAAACCGAACAAAAATAGTCTTTAATACCGCTATATGTTTCTCAACTGACGCCGTGTATACGAGAACATCGTCAATGTAACAAATAACCCATTAATTCCTGCCAATATTCTATTCATAATCGACTGAAAAAACTAGGGGCTTTTGCCAGTCCAAAAATAATTTTTTCAAACCTAAAAAGCCCCCTATACGTATTAATAGTCAGGAGTGGCTGGGTGCTAGGGTCTATCTCCAATAGAATATACGCATTGCTCAAATCTAGTTTATAGAAAAACTTCCCTCTAGCCAAGACGGAAAACAGGTCC